ACGCGCGGGCCGGCCGGGCAGGGCTTCCCCTGCCCGCAGTCCCCGGGCACCGCACCGCACCGCACCGGCGGCCTCGCCGCGGGATGCGCGTGGAAGCGAGCGCGGAGGAGAGGGGTGAGGCACCTGAGGTGTATGAATCCCCGGCGGAGGAGGCCCGGAGTACAGGTTTCCGGAGGTGAAACCGCTCAGGGTTTGTGCAAAGTATTTGCCTCATTTATCAGTGGCTCCGCTCGTCTGTGGGACGGGGCAGTCTACCACACCATGGAGCTAGCAAAGAGAAATTAATTTAGAAGCTATCTGTAACTACCAGGGAAATCTCCATGCCAGCGTTAAAGCCGAGCTTGTCCACGCAGTGTTTGAGCGGGCACTGGGGCGCAGAACCACTCCCCCAACTCGGAGAGCAAAGGCTACACCTGGTAGAGCCGTTACGTGACAACTACCATCCCTTCCGAGCACTGATTAAGGCACCCATGCTGTAGGAAAACAACACAACAGGGTGAGCACACATTGCAATTAAAGTATGCACAGAGGGCAAAATTGAGATTGCACAGGCGACTAATTCCAGCGTTTAACTACATGACCCTCCTAACATTCTTTTAGCTTGAAAAGACTTAATTACAACATACATAGACAGTTGCTTAGGTAAACATCAGGCCTTGATTCCTTGATAAAGCCACTGAATGAAAAAAAAAAAAAAAAGCTGTCCTCTGGCTCTGGAGCGGAAAGCTAGTTTCTGAACTACAGGCTTTCCACAGCTGTGTTCCCGCTCCCCTGAAAGGACAAGCATCTATAGGCTTTTTTTTTTTTTTGATAGTCTGTTCCCCACTCCCCCACCCCCAGCAAGATGCTGAGATTGAGAATGTGGGGTTTTAAGGACAGCACGTTCCACAACATCAAGACATGAGCCCAGATCTGAACTCTGTAGTTCAGATGTAAATTTAGGATTATTCTGGGTTGAAGATTTACATCTAAATTAAGCATAGATAACTGATATTTTGTTATATGAGATACATATTTTTAGCCTCCAATTAAACTCACTTTTTTTAAGTAAACCACCACACTGGTTGATCTCCCTGGCTGTACTCTGCATGGGGGGGTGTCATGATTTCATCCATACCAAGATCAGAGTAACATCAGAATACGTAATTTGGCTTTACAAATCATGTTCTGTCAGCAGGCAATGTTTGCATTCTCATTCTAAATGCTTAAGCAGCTTGATAAAGATTCCCAATAAGTTATTTTTGCATTAAATTTATGGTTTAAACCCTTAGCAAGATCATTTTCTTATCCTAATAGCATTGTATTTAAGGGATTTTAACTTATTCCCAGATTTGGGTGTTGGAAGGTGTGAATTCTCCCAATACTTCATTCAAAAATTGGGAAGGGTGGAAAAAAGGAGTCATAGGAGTTGAAGATGTTACAAATGTTTCAGACATTCTTTCTGAGGATGCAGAAGTGATTTATTTAGGATGACAAAGATTTATGAAGTCGGAGCTAGATTCCAAGACCCCATAAGTCCCCAGCATTCATTCCTAGAACAGGCTTACAGAATCTCTGGTTTCACATATGACCTCAAAATCAGGATTTAAAAGTTCTTAGTAAGCCTTCTGTAAGTTAAATAACATCTCAGAAAAGTTAGAGCAGCTACTTTTAGCTAGACTTGAAAAGCCAGATACGACTAGCAGCTGCCAGTTGAACGATGGCTACTTTAAGAGGCTGCAGCTGCCCGACTTTAAAAGGGCAGTCCTAGAAAATCAAACAAGCAACAAATTTTAGAAATAGCAGAGATCAAAGGGTTATAGAAAGATATTCCTGATAAAGGAGTTGTTGAGATATACTTGCTTGCAAACCAATTAATGTAGAACGTTCCCCCAGCTTGCAAACAAGTTAATGCTTTAGAAAAATACACAACTTACTGTGCAAATACAGTGCAGCTTCACTACAGCAAAAGCTGAAATCCTGGCATAGCTGTTAGCAAGGGTGAAAAAGGCACAATGTTTTGCTAGAGGATCAATTTCAAATGTTTTTTGCAGTCTAGGAATAGCTTGAATTTTCTGACAGTTTGTGGTGATAAAATATAATCTAAGATTAGCTCTGAGTATTTTAAGAAGTACTAAGGGCAAGAAAATTTTTGGTGTCTGACATTTCTTTTGGATACTTTTTAAACTTCTCAGAGAAGTCTGAGGAAATAAATGTATGGTTTTTGCTATCTATAGATCAGGGGAATATTTGTTAAAAAGTGTATTTTTGTAGAAGCAGTCACTCTAGGTTTAAAATTGCTGCTTGGAATATTCACATTAATACCATGTTACTGACTCAAGACAATAGTTATTGCTGAGATGAAATTTAACATTAATAACAAGTTACATTAGTTCAAATGTTACTGAAGACAAATTATAGTGATAATACTGTGCCTTATCTTGACACAGTCTTTAAACTAGGCTCCATTAATGTCTGTGTCCTTGCAATGGAATGTAATTATTGTGGAAACTTTTACATTATTAGGACTCAGAACTACCACAGTATGTCATCTAAAGATTAACTTTTTGTAGTGTTGTCACAGCAAATGCCTGAACTGAGCATGTTTTTGTAGCATGCTGCTTCTCCAGCGCAGCAACTCTGGCATGTATTAAGAGATACTATGTACATGTTCCTAATTTTTGTCACCATCTTAGTATTACTGTATGCAGTAAATGTATTCCCTTGTAAGGCTGATGCAAGAAGCTAAATGCTAACCAGGAGATAATTCTAGACTGTTTCTTTTCATTCAAAGGAATAAAGAAGTGACCTCTCACTCCCACTTGCTGAGAGCATCAACACATGCAACTTCAAAGGTGGTTTTGAAAACTAAGCATCAGAGCTTAAATTGGAGCCCAGGGGCCTCTGCCTCAAACAAAAGAGCAACTAGGAACTATTGGGAGAGCTATTGAACTTAGAGAGGGTTCATAGTCAGAAAATATTTGCTCTAGCTTTGATTCATATCTGTTCTCTCTATTGGCAAACACAAGTTAAAAGCTTGTGAACTGACACAGTAAGGAAAGAATGAGTTAGTGTGGTCTCCATGTTCTGCATGCACTGTGAGCAAATTTAACTACAGCAGAATCTTTCTGGTGATAGTGCAAGAAAGAGCCCAGAAAGCAATCATATATCTCAGGGTGGGTCAGAGGCTGCAATAAGAAAAATTAAAGCCTGATTGGAGAACAAGTGATCCTTAATTTGTAGATTCTAACTTGATGCAAAGTTGCATGAGGCCAGATTCTTTAAGGCTTCTAATCAATCAAGAGGAAAAATCTAACATCTGAGTAATTTAGATGCTGTCAGCATCAAAGATAAAACAGGGTGGGTGTAATTCCCTTGAGCATGAGTAGGAGCTGCTTGGTGGTTGCTGGTATGTGACATCACATCCCAGCTCTAACAGAAGGAACCTCTGGCCTTGAGTAAGTCCCTCCTTCACCAGTGCTGGTGTTTCACAGGCAGATCACCCTCTTGACAAACTTCTGAAATGTAAGCTATTTCTTTACAACCATGTGGTTTAACCCTACATTCCATGTGCTTCAGGCTCTGTTTCTGCTGAACTACAGGCAGAGGAAGCTTTTCTGCTAGAGGTCTCCAAGATGTCTCACTTCATCCTTTCTGTAGTCTTTACATTTGTTCCTAAGCCCGTTCTCCTCAGACACGTGAATCTAAAATCATCACGAACTGTAATACACAATTTCCAGTTTAAGGAACTTTGTGTCTGTTGCAATTATTTTTTTCATGGCATCTAGCACAATAATGGTAAGAAAATGCATTGCTAATATGCACCTTTCTTCCTCTGACACATTTCCTGATGTCAAAGAACTGTAGTGATCTATTTTAAATCAAACCCCTAATTGCTCAACACACCTGAAGATGCTCAAAATCTCACACTGTGATTCTGCATTATGTTGCTACAGTTCAGAGCCCAACACCGTGTGTTACGCAAGTTGTATATAAGCAGCCTGATGTATGAACCAAGACAGAAAGCTTCCTCCCATAGAAAACAATTCAGACAATCTGCTATGGGGAATGTAGAATGGATATAGATAACTCAAGATAGCCCTGATCAATTTTCTTGCAAGCTGAAAATTTAATGCCATAAGACTGTTCTGACAGCTGTAGGGGAACTGACTTGCTGTATACCTCAGAGATGTGCAGGAATAAAGTGGGTGCGGCAAATAGGGGAATGCCAGGAATGTAGGCACAGCAAGGAGGGAATGCTGGGAATAGGGCTGTTGATACTTACTGCATGAATGTTACCTTCCTGCCTTTTTCTTTTCACGTGAACCCAAGTTGGCCTCAGTCTAACAGTCAAGCCAGGGACATTAGCCCTAAGATCCCAAACTATTCCATTTACTAGGTATATGAGTCTGTCTTGGAGCAGAAGTTGCTTCACCAAACACACCTGACGCAACAAAAGAGCAATGAATATGACCTGCTCTAGGAAGATGCTAAATACCTTGAGAAAACCTAGCATCTAGGTGACAGTCTTAAAGTTAGGCCATATGCAACAGACCTGCACATAGTACTTACAGACAGAAAAGGTAACAAATCCCCTCCATTCTTAATTAAGTATTAAAATGGTCACCAACCAAGCCTAGCCCGTTGACAGAGTCTACAAGACTTATCTGGTATTACTAGAGTTTCTCTAAAACCTTCATTCAAGATCTAGGTTTCTGGTCTAGATAGATTTCCCCACATGCCAGTCTCTGGAACATTGTGTGACAACTAATTAGAGAATCTGACAGCAAAGCTAAGGGAAAAAAAACTGTCCAAATGAGTTTTCTGTGTTTATTTTTTAAGAGAGCAGGATAGTGAATGGATCAGGTAACTACTTTGCTGTATATTGACTACTTAGTTTCATTCTAGTTTACAGCTTTGTGTTATTGATAAAGGCAACAATATCAAAGGGATATGATAGATGTGGACACATATACACAATATAAACATCCATATTCTGCAAACGGGGAAACACAGGCATAGAGGGCTTGCCCAAAGACATATAAAACTAAAACCACAATGTTCAACAGCATTAGGAACAGAATTTATAGTTCTTGACTTCTGAGCCTTGCTGTAACCATCAGCCAGCTCCCCCTGTTCAGAAACTCTCTTAATGGCTTTCTCACATACACATGGAATGTTATCACAACTGTCTGTTTCTGTGAACTGCCCAAGTGCAGTAAATAAGTGTTGGTGCTTGTGACCCAGACAGAACAGCTGATCTGCCAGAAGAGCTTCACAATTTTACTCATTACAGATCTCAAGAGCACTTGTCTCACGTGGTGATTAAGCTGCTTCACAAACAGGGACTGTTCTGACTTTTTATAGACCAGAAGGCAAAAAAAAGTTAGCTTAGCCTCAAAACTAGCAGAAAAAAAGGTCCAAAACAAAATCAGGCATAAGTCTTACAGCAAAGCTGAGTGAGCTGGGAAGAATGTAATAAAAGCAGATTCTCTTCCATACCACATGTGTTTCTATGGTCACAAAGAAGAAAGGACAAGATTGTTATAAAATGACTATGTAGAAAAAGCTACTCTACCTGGGAACTGTAGTAGCCATTTCTGACATTAAGAAATTGAACAGTAAAATGACTTGGCTAGGGTCACCCTAAGCTGCTTAAGCTCCGAAAGAAATCTGTAAAAGGGAACCAGATCCAACTATAGTATGCCATCTCCCCTTTCTTTAGTACAAAAGGGCTTCTGCTTTCTTCCTACTCCCAATTCAGTCATCTGTCATTTTCAGGACAGCTTGGAATTGTCAGTTCAATTACCTTTCAGTTTGAAGAAAAACAAAGCAGATGCTGTTTATTACTAAAAGGCAGAATCTTTCTCTTTTGAGGAATATATCATCTCCTTTTTTATAATTAGAGATTGCATTATATGCATCTCCCCTATCTATTAAACAATACACAGGAGCTGGGAAATAATATAATTCAGCTAAAATGAAATACTATCTTCCTTACAGCTCTGGTAGGGGTGTTGGTCTACTCAACTACTGCTTTTAATTTTTAAGACTCAGCTTTTGTATCAATCTTCCCTTTTTAATTCCTCTTATCACTACAGACATATTAGAAACATGGTCAATTCCTAGCATCTGTCATGAAATGTGCAAAGGGGTGGGGGAATCAGACATACAGCAATTGCCTTTTCTAAACAATACAAAATTTTCTCACTGATTTAATTGATTTTTAAATTAATTTGCACTACTGTTCAGAAATGCTACTCATCAAATATTGATTAAAATGCAACTTCAACATCTTGCCAGAGAGCTTAACTAAAAAAAAAAAAAAAGGCAAAGAAAGATTTTTTGCATACAATACCTGCTTTAAAGTGGTCCTACTCAAATTTTCATGTCTGTTCTACCCGCAGCAGCACACTGATGAGGACTGACTGAAAGGCACATGCAGGGAGGTCAAATAGTTCCCTTAGATCTGTCAGGCACTGCAAGCCATTCAGAGGCGGAAGCTTACTGCAAACTGAGCAGTGTCTCTGCCCATATGTTGTGGTCCCAAGAGGAGACAGTATATCCCTGCGCTGAAGACATGGTGAGCATGAAATTAAGTATTTTCAGACTATACACATAGGTTTGCAGTAGCTGTTTCATTTCTGTAAATTCACTTCCTACCAAAAGGATATAGGAGGCCTTTACACAGTGAAACAATTCCAAGAAGTACAAGGATGTGGAAAAAAAGAACCCAAGGAATAGTTTTAATAGCTATTTTGAAGCAAGTATGGGAAGTGATCTTAATTTGGAGACAAAAATTGACAGATCTGAGCTTGCCATACCAGAATATTACATTTCTATAAACATTCAGAAGTAACATTATATTATTTACCTTTAGACCATTCACAGTTCTGTAATGTTAAAAACTAGCGAGGATGATGACTTCACATAAGACAGATCCCTTCCTTGTAGAACACCAATGTTCGCAGATTCAAAAATGATACCAGTTTAGTGCCTCAAGTACTTCACAGCCTTTTGAGTTTTCCTTTTGTCATCTAGTACTGGAATACATGGGAAGTATTCTCTGGATACCTGTCCTATTGCTGAATCTATAGCAACACTATCCATTTCGAGGGTGTTTCTGGTCTCCCAACCATCTTTATAATAATGCATTTTAATGATGTTTTTCATTTAATCTCAACATGCTCTAAAGCACTAGGTCCCTAAACCACTCCAGGGTGAACAGTTTGATCAGATTTATCAAGGAGGAAATAAAGCAACAAACAGGTTAAAGGTCCAGTCTATCAGCCCCTCTAACTGCATGTTTTATTGACAGAAATTCTATAGACAGCATAGTGTGAGTGAAAACAGGTTTTATTAGTGGCTTGTTCAAGACCCACAGGGAATCAGTGTCAAAGGCAAAATAATCCAGACACCGGATCTCTGTTCAAGATGTATCCTTACTCCAACCTTTTATTTAAAACCTTCTACTAATTAAGTAAATTTTATTGGGGGTGGAAGAGTCTAAAGAGGAACTAACAAGATGCTCACGCAGTATGAAGCACAACTCATGATCTTATGTTATTACAATTCCAGTAACACATTTATCCTCTTCCCCTTCCTTGTACTGTCTCTAAATAACACCATAAAATTCCCCAGACCTGCCATTTTATTTCCTTCTAAGATACCAAAACCACTTAGTGTCACTTAAGTGTATTTGAGTTGTGGGTTTTGTTTGGGTTTTTTGGTTAACTGATTCTAGGGAATTGTTCTGGGTAACAAGAAGCTCAGAAAAAAAGACAAGAGTTGTGGCCTTCATTCTCTTCACTAAAATTTAGATAGCATTTGAAAGTGCTGAAATCACACTTGTACAACTCCTGCACTCTGTATGTATCCACACACCCTGAAAGTAAACTGTCTCAAAGGAGTATCGAGTACACTCCCGAAATGCTACATGCTCATCCAAAACTACATCTCCAGGGAAAACAGTGCAGAGCTTAAGTTTTTTGTACAATTTATTGCCATAAAATTGCAAACAACTCCACCAGGCTTTGGCCTCTGTAGTTTAGCACACTAATGAACACCAGTTTTATAAAGAAAAATTTCAGGTGGGAACTGCCACATCACAGCCTGGGATAATACAAGTTCTGCAAAGAATTACAGTAACAGGAAAGGAATTAAAGCGAAGTGACATGCATCTTTTCAATTTAGCCAGTACACTATGAATTCAGAAAACATGCGAATCTCTGTACACAGAGGCACCGAAGCAGGCCACTCTGCCTTACACCTCTGATTTCCTTTCCAGATTCTGCAGTGGTTTAGATTTCTCATTAGATTACCGGCTTGGTACGTTTGTGTGCTCGTTCCCACCACGGCTTCCTGTGCATCTGGCACCCAGCGCGCACATTCACCTCGGGGCTCCTTTGAGACTTCCAGTCAGTTGGTTCCTCTACGGCAAAAACGGCTTTTCAGAGCGAGATCTGCAGGTGTCACCCTCCCCTTGCAGAGGCACAGCCCTGGCAAAGGGACAGACACCCCCTTCTCCCTCACCCACCCTCGGCCGGGCCACCCGCCACGGCCTGCCTTTGCCACGGGGCTGGAGCCTTAGGCCACAGGCCGCTCGTGGGCTCTCTCCACCCGCGCATACATGTCCTTCACCCCCGAGTCACTTCACCGTCCCTCAGCACCGTCCCTCCGTCGGCAGCCGCGGGGGCAGGGTCTGGCGGCTGCGCTGGCCGCCCCCCTCAGCGC